ACATGAAATGTACAAGGTTTGCGCGAGCTGAAAAATGTAACAGGCAGAAGGAGGCGTGGCAGACCCCACAAAGTATATATATTCTTGATCAGCATGAAACGCCATTCGTATAATCATGTAAATACGCAGAAAATGTGTATTTTGGATATATATATTTTTATACTCTGTACATGAAATGTACAAGAGTATATTAGGTTTGCGGGAGCTGAAAAATGTAACAGGCAGAAGGAGGCGTGGCAGACCCCACAAAGTATATATATTATTGATCAGCGTGACAAGACGAGTCGATCTAGCCCTGTCTGTCTGTCTGTCTGTCCGTCTGTCCGTCCGTATGAACACCTGGATCTCAGAGACTATAGAGACACCAAATTTTGCACAAAGATGCGTTATGTGTGTATTCTATACGAGTTTGTTTTATTTTTTTGATTTTCCCCCCCACTTCCCCCCTATGGGGGTTTTCCCGATTTTCCATTCGTATAATCGCCTATATCTCGGAGACTATAAGACCTACGCACACCAAATTTTAGTCCAAGATGCCTTGTGTGAATACGCAGAAAATGTATATTTTGGAATTTCCCTCCCTCCCCCCGCTTCCCCGCCAATGCGATTTTCTCTAACTCCCGTAATTCTTGGGATTTCGAACTAAAATTTTGCAAATACCCCCAGTTAGTAATTAGGTGTCCGTATGCCAAGTTTCACTATGATAGACCGATTTACCAAGAAGTTATAGCCATAAATATATTTGCTGCTGCAGCGCTGCTCAAGCGCTGCCCGCGGCTGTTGTTGATGTTGCTGTTTGGTTGACTGCGAAAATGCTTACACAGACACGAGTTGATGCGCATAGGCATACATACACTCACACAGACGCAAGTGCTATGTAAATGTGCAATTATACACCCTTTACGTGAGTTCGAATACCGAGAGAGGTAAAATCGATCCAATTTTTTTTTTATTTATTTTTTTTTTATTTTCTATAATTATTGTAAACATATGTACAGAGTATTTCAAAGTCGGGACACCCGACTTTAGCTTTTTTACTTGTTATATAAATATTTTTTTTTGGGAGTGAGTACAGGGTATTTAAGAGTTGAGCAGTCCTTTCTTGTTTTTGTAATTAATGATTTAGCATCCGTAATTCATTAAATTTTTGACTCAAATTTGGGTAATACCTCCAGTTAGTGATTATATATTATTAGGTAGGATACTGCACATATTCTCACACACACACACGCGGGCTAATATTCCTTTCTTGTTTAAATTGAAATTGAGCTTAGAAGTTTCATAAAATTACCCAACCAATGTTCAAGGTAGAACTGACTGTATGCCTATAAATAAAAACGTAGTTCACCCAATTTACAAGCTGCAATATCTACTGCACCGTAAAATCACCGTTGAGGAACCGCACAAACGAAATGGAACTGTCCAATGTACAAACTGGCAGGAATATGGACACACAAAAACCTATTGTACCCTACGTATGTAGCAACTGTGGACGAAACCACACTGCCAACTATAGATGCTGCCCTGTATACAAAGAGTTAAAAAGTCGCGTAAGTCAACAAAGATCCGCAGCTCGAAATCCAGTCATCCGACAAAACTTGCCATACATACCATTAACTACGATTCCAGGAGTATCTTTTGCTAAGGCGTTAAGTTACACCAACGAGTCGTACGCCTCAGTCTCTAAACAAACCACTGCAGGAATAATGAATCGTCTGACATCGCAACAGAGGCCAGAAACTACCACCCAACATACCACTGCAAATCCATCCCAATTGCCTAGTGGGATTGAATCAATTCTGGCAACTCTAACAAATACAATGGTAGCAATGCAACAAATGATGTAGGAAATTATGCGCAATCAAAATCTCCTTCTGGAAGTACTAATCAAACAGAAATCTACTAAAAATTTGTTTCTGAAATGCGAATGGCATTTCACAGCACAAATGCGAGCTCTTACAGTTCCTCAATCAACATGACATTGACGCCATGCTCATATCAGAGGCTCACCTAACAAACAAAAATTATTTTCATCTCAATGGCTACAACTTCTATGTGACCAATCATCCCGATGGTAAGGCTCATGGAGGTACTGGCATCCTTATAAAGCGTCGCATCAGACACTTTCCGTTACCATCATTTGCTACAATTTATCTACAGGCCACAACAATTCATATCGAAATACAAAGCGGCTATTTAAGCCTAGCCGCAGTATACTGCCCACCGCGCTTCTCCGTTTCTGAGGCAGAATTTGTACATTTCTTCGACCTACTAGGTAACCCCTTCATAGCAGCTGCTGACTAAAATGCCAAACACACACATTGGGGATCCCGACACATCAACCCAAAAGGAAGACAACTATATAACGCTATAATAACACCACGAAACAAGCTTGACTTTATTTCTCCGGGCTGGCCTACATATTGGCCCACAGATCCGAAGAAGCACTTAACAGATCTATCATCGGATCACTTGCCAATCCTTCTTCACCTTTATGACCACCCACAGTACTCGGAGCGCCCTTTTTAACTTCTAGAAAAACTGACTGGCTTAAATACAGGAAGTACGTAAGTTCCCATATTGATCGCTGCCCAAACATTAATTGCAAAGATGACATAGATACCTCAGTAGAAGAATTAGTGTCTGTAATGTCACTGGGGGCAAAACATTCCACTCCAGCAATCACAGCTTATAAACCTTACAAAAGCAGTCGTGTTCCCAGGGATATTGAGGAGCTGCTACGAAATAAGAGAAGACTTCGGCGGGGGTGGCAAGTGCACATATCACCTGACTCAAAAATAGCCAACCATCTACTACGCAAAGCACTAGAAGATGATAAACACCGAGCTCAAATTGACTATATGGAGCAACTCTCCTCAAACAACAAACGATTCCTATTGTTGAAAGCTAAATCATGTCGACCAATAGAGAGTGAATTACCATTACGTACACAAAGAGGAAAGTGGGCTCGCAGCAACGAAGAGAAGGCAAATCTATTTGCCCCCATTTAGAAAAACTCTTCAAGCCACATCCAGCGACAAATAGCTTTGTGCTCCCACTAAACAATGATCTTAAAGCTACCACGCCTCTCGTGTTCCAAGCAGGAGAAGTCACAAGTGTCATTAAAGGCCAAGTTTCAAAGCAAAAAAAAAAAAAAAAAACGCCGGGCCACAGTCTAATTCTAAGTCTGATCATTGAATTGCCGAGCTGTGCAGTATATGTTCTCACCATAATGGAGAAAATCTGTCATCACAATGATCCATAAAGACGAAAAAGACAAGTCTCAGCCTTCATCATATAGACCTATCAGTCTCCTGCTCGAAGATATTCGAAAAACTGCTCTTAAATTGCATCAAACAGCACATACACACCAACAGTGCAATACCAAATCATATAAAACATGGAACCATTGAACAAGTCAACCAAACAACCTCTGAGATACAGAATGCATTTAAAAAACGAGAGTATTGCTCCGCTGTTTTTCTGGATGTCGCCCAAGCCTTCGACCGCGTTTGGCTGGATGGCTTAGTTCACAAAATCAAAATATTACTTCCACAAAACATCCTTAAAATACTGGAGTCATACCTACAGCAAAGAAGCTTCGCAGTTAGATGCAAAGATTTCCTTTCCGAATACCATCCAATTGAAGCTAGTGTACCCCAAGGGAGCGTGCTTGGACCGACACTGTATATTATAGACACAGCAGATATACCGACAAACAGTCATACAACAATTTCGACATTTTCTGATGATACTGCCATCCTAAGTGCCCAACAGGAGCTACAGATCACAGATCACAATCATCTCACCTCGTGGCCATAGAAGAATGGCTAGCACACTGGCGCATACATGTAAACGAGCAAAAGTGAAAACATGTCACCTTTACCCTAAATAAACAAACTTGTCCTCCATTGTAGCTAAACAACATCAATATTCCACAAAAAATGATGTAACTTACCTTGGTGTCCATTTGGATAGACGGCTTACTTGGCGCAAACACATCGAAGCGAAGAGAGATCAACTGAAACTAAAAGCTATTAATCTACATTGGCTTATAAACGTCCGTTGACCACTAAAACTGGAGTACAAAGTACTCTTGTACAATGCAGTTCTCAAACCAATTTGGACATATGGCCGGAAAATATCCGGAATGATTTAAATGTGGGACCTGTTAAAGATGAAATCGCTAAGGTGAAAGCAAAGTACCAGCTTAAGCTTCGGAACCATCCAAATAGACTTGCGCAGAATTTAACTTGGCAGGCTAGCCATACACGACTCCGGCGAAGAGACCTCCAAACCCAGCAATAACAGTTAGGGCCATAATTCAAATATTTAATTGTAATTAATGAAAGAACTATATTAGAGTAAGATTTGACTACTTATCGTACTATATGTCTCCGTGAGAGAAGATTCGATAAATAAATAAAACTTGAAAAAATGAAGTTTCATTCTGGTCAGAAATATTTTTTTATACTTAAATCTATTAGGATGACTACCGAAAATATCTAATTAAACATACAGACAGAAATAAAACAGAATAAAATTGACAAAAACAATTCTAAACCACTGTGCAAGGGCTCCTCGCATTATAACTTGAGAATTTCTTTGCTATTTCCAGTTGCATGCAATCTTCTTATGAATGATTTCGACTTGTTTAATATAAGTTTGTCTTTAAGCGACCGACTAGTCAGAAATAGGCCCACAGCAAACCGGTTTTGAGAATGAGCAAGTTAAGAGGGAATCTGTAGTACGGTGATTCATATTGAAGCGCAGTTTCCAGTTGATTTCTGTCTTATCAGCTTGTACTGCTTATTTGCGTCAAGTTTAACAAACATAATAGATGATAGATTGAACACAAATTCTCTATCTAATTAACAAACATGTTTTACTTAGCTCTTAAGAGAGGAGGTAATCATGAACCAAGGGACTCTCTTAATCAAATGAACCTGAAGCCCGCAATATGTATTTCGGATGCTCATCAATTTTAGAAGCAGTCGTAGCTTGTTTTCGTTCATGTATACAGCTTTGAATCGACCGGTATAGCTCAGTTGTGGCTTGCAAAAGCTGAGACAGAAAACAAAGACATAATTGGAGCAGTAATCATCAGGTATATTATTGAAAAACAAATTGTGGTCAAGGCTGTTTAAAAAAATAAAAAAGTGAGCTAAATTAAATATACTTGTGCAGATAGCATTGCAGCTAAAGTATGGAAAATATTCTTCTCCGTATAAAAATGCAAAAATTCACTATCGTGTTCGTTTCACAAGTGACGTAACGAAGCGGACGCATACATATGTATATTATTGCGTTATCTAATACAACAAAGTTTAAATTTTCAAATGCAGGTTTTCTATGTATTTGTTATTTTGCGAGAACAATGATATACATGTTCTAAATAGTTTGTTTAACATAAGTTTTATTTCAGAAAGCTTATCAGTTTAAATCCGGATCAGTATACTTTAATGTGCTTTCAAATACGAGTACACAATACAGTACGAGTGCATAGTATTGACCTGGCGAACTTCATACTGCCTCAGAATAAATAAAAGATGTGTCGTGCAATCAAAATATCGCGCGTTTTAAAGTTTTCCCCAACAATGACAATGCGGCTTAGTCTATTGTTGATGCGTTGAATTGGCGTTCGTATGCTCCAACAAACCGTGTATCAGCTCTGATCTGATTTGAAAACATTACTAGACATACGATTCATGATTAATCATGCATAATGTTCATGTAGTGCCGCTCTCTTTGTTTTTGTGTTTGTAAACAATGAATTCGAACCCTACTAAGTAACGTAGAGCTCTTCTCGCGGGATTTCTTCTTCATCTGCAGTATTTGCTAATTTTAATTTCTTTAAGGTTTCGTTGAAGAAAATTAGATCTAGCTCGTAAATGCAATCGTTTGAAAATCACGGTCGAAAATAGAATTTCGGAGAATTACAAACAACCTGCCTGAAAAACTACACACACATGCAAAATGCTAATAGTATCTTTCTTAATGTTCACTCATCACAGAGAAATCTCGAAGTGATCGGTGAAAAATAAAGAAAATCGTTACAAAAAAATTAATTGTATCGGATTCAAATCAGTATTAATGCAGCACCTCCTCCCCTCTCACCTACTTCTTTTTAAACGGATTTAAATTTGTTGCGATTTCTCTACTTTTTCAAGACGAGTCGATATAGTCATTTCCGCTTGTCACTGTTTCCGTCAGTAATTCGGGTCCCAAGACAAATTCCAACAAGGTATGAAGTTTTTCGATTTTCTTTCTTTTCATTTACAAGCGAAATGGAAAGAGCGAATAAGAAAGAGTGTACTGTTTTTGGAACAAATCGAAATTAGACTCTTACGAAGTAACTTTACTTAAAATTGTGTTGACTAATCCATTATAAATGCCAACAGTTGCTAAACGACGATTTTTGAGTACCAATTTCTGGATTTGCTTAAAGTATTGCTCAGTTGATGTTCTTCGTCGGTTAGATTTTAGAATTATGTCATTCATAAATTTGTATTTTGACGTAGTCTAGTTTCAAATCTTCTGCAACATTCTTAACGTAAAAACGCTACTTTTGCAAAAAAACGAGCTTTTTATACTCCGTTAATTTTTTTTTTTTTAGTTTTCTTTATTCATCGAATCTTATCTCTCGGAGATTTACTATAAGTAGTCAAATCTTAATCTAATATAATTATTCAATTAAATACAATGTTTTTGCTGGCTGGGGATGTATCTTCGCCGGAGTAGCGTATGACTCGCCTGCCAAGTTTAATTCTGTGCGAGTCTATTTGGCAATACTCTCGTTTTTCAAATGCATTTCCTATCTCAGAGGTTATTCGGTTGACTTGTTCAATGATTCCAAGTTTTTCGTGAAAACCAAATTGGTGATTTGGGATCGCACTGTTGATGTGTAGGTGCTGTTTAATGCGATTCAGGAGCAGTTTTTCGAATATCTTCGATAGGCACGGCAGGAGACTGATAGGTCTATATGATGATGGCTGAGACTTGTCCTTTCCGGCTTTATGGATCATTGTGATGACAGATTTTCTCCATTGTTGAGGATAATAGCCCCATTTCGTCATGCTGTTGAAAATGATGGTTAGAAAATATACTGCATAGCTCGGCAATTCAATGATCATTTTGAAATTAAATCGTCGCTTTTTATAGCCTGTATCCAAAGGGTGAAAGGATATACTAGTTTTGTGCGAATGTGCTTTGGTTGACTGCAAACATGCTAACACAGACACAAATAGACACGAATAGACATGCATACACTCACATAGACGCAATTTCTATGTAAATGTGCAATTATACACCCTTTACGTGAGTTCGAATACCAAGAGACGTAAAATCGACATTTATTTTAAATTTTCTTAATTTTTTTAATTTCTATAATTATTCTAAACATACATATGTACAGAGTATATTTGAAAGTCGGGACACCCGAATTTTTATAGCCTGTACCCAAAGGATGAAAGGCTATACTAGTTTTGTGCTAATGTATGCAACACACAGAAGGAGGCGTGGCAGACCCCACAAAGTATATATATTCTTGATCAGGGTGACAAGCTGAGTCGATTTAGCCATGTCCGTCCGTCCGTCCGTCTGTATGAGCCCAAGGATCTCAGAAGATACAAGAGCTAGAATTACCAAACTTGGTATCCAGGTTCCCCTAAGCCCTTGGCAGGTTAAGTTTATTTTTTTTATTCTCTTACACCTCCCCACTCCCCCGCAATTCGTGTTTTTTTATAACTTCCGTAATTCTCGGAATTTTGAAATCAATTTTGGTAGTTACGTCCAGTTAGTGCTTATGTGCCCGTGTGCCAATTTTGATCATGATAGGTCAATTCTGAAGAAAGTTATAGCCATTAATAAAATCGCTCTGCTTGCAGCGCTGCCCGCAGTTGTTGTTTTTGTTGCTGCTTTGGTTCAACTTTGTGCTACATACATACACGTATATAAACACGCATAGACACGTGATGTAAATGTAAAACTGTACATAAACATATCTTCTATGTATGTATTAAATAAATTTGCTTAATTAATTTAATAAATTAATTAATTTTTTTTAATATTATTTTTAAAATTTTTCTTTTTTGTCTGTACTCTCCACAGGCTATTTTACTGTCGGGCTTACTCGACTGTAGCGTTCCCTCTTGTTTTCACTTGTTTATTGAATAATATCGCCTGCATATCTATACTAATATTTGATTGTTTGTTTGTTTGTTTGAATTGAAAAGGCTCCGAATCTACTGGACCGATGTAATGGTTTCTTTCATTGTTGACGGTGAACATGGGCTAATAATAAACGCCAATAATGTAACCAAAGGTGTAAAAAATTACCTTAAAAAACTTCTGAATAGCATGCTGTCAGTTCCTAATCATCCTCGAAACATTGTCACTTTAAATATTAAGGCAATATTATTCAAAAGCCCCCAGCCAAATAAAAAATTACAAATCGATCGACACCGTGATTAATATTGAAGACATTTAAATTCACTAAGCCCTTCGGAATTGCAATCATGCTTTTGAGAAATTAAAGCCTTCCAAGCTTGTGCAATGGGACGAGGCTGCTTATTAAGGAATTGCAGGAAAATTTAAGTGTAGCAACTATTATCAACGGCCCAGCAACTGGTCAACTAGCTCATATAACGAGGATACTGATGATCCCATTTGATCATTTATATGGCTTCAATTTCCGGTAGTCCCAAGGCCAAGTCTTCGAATTAGTAGGGATCAACATACGAAAGAAATGTTTTACGGTATAATTATCACGGGTCGTAGCTCCTGAAAATCAATTTATTTTGCATCCACAAAATAAAACATCAAATATTCCAAAATACACAGTTTCTGCATATTCAACTAAAATTTGGTGTCCCTAGGTCTTATAGTCTCCGAGATATAGGCGATTATACGAATGGAAAATCGGGGAAACCCCCATAGGGGGAAAGTGGGGGGGGGGAATCCAAAAAATAAAACAAACTTGCACAGCGTACACACATAAGGCATCTTTGTGCAAAATTTGGTGTCTCTAGCTCTTATAGTCTCCGAGATCCAGGTGTTCATACGGACAGACGGACAGACAGGGCTAGATCGACTCGTCTCGTCATGCTGATCAAGAATATATATACTTTGTGGGGTCTGCCACGCCTCCTTCTGCATGTTACATTTTCAGCTCCCGCAAACCTAATATACTCTTGTACATTTTATGTACAGAGTAAAATAACAAAAAAATTTTAAAAACGGACAAAAAATCATAATAAATAATAAATTGAACATACTATCTACATTTTCAGGTTTTCATAATGACGCTGCGAAACATTGCATCCTTAATTGTGGCTATGGTTGTGGCTATGACGCTTTTCGTAGATACAGAATCACAGCAAACGTCGAACGTGGACAAAAATATTAGAGATATTTTTAGCAGAAGCCCCAGTGACTCTAGTGGTTTTGCGACAGTTGTCACACCAGTGCCTTTAAACCCCTCTAGTCCACAAATTGACTTTAATTCCATCAGTGGAAAGACAGCGTCATGCAACTGTGTGCCATACTACATGTGCGATCCTTCCACAAATACCGTAACGGAGGACGGTGCTTTTGACGGTTTTGGGCAAATCGACATTCGCTTCAATGCTGATGATCCTGTCTGTCCATCCTCGGTTGACGTTTGTTGTGCTGGAAATCAGACACGCAGCGAAGTGCTGAACCCCACGCCTCTGGTAAACCGACCTAATCAGCCTCGTGGATGCGGTGTTCGTAATATAGACTTAGACTTTTCTCTTGTTGGAGCCACACATAACGAGGCTGGTTTTGGAGAGTTCCCATGGACTGTGGCTCTATTGCACGCCCAAAACTTCAGCTATTTTTGCGCCGGCTCCCTTATCCATCCACAAGTTGTTCTAACTGCTATGCACTGCATACAAACGCACCAGCCGGACAGCTTTTTAATTAGAGCAGGAGAGTGGGACTCGCAAACGACTAAGGAGCGGCTTCCCTTTCAAGAGCGTACAGTCGAGCGTATAATATTGCACCCCCAGTTTAATGTCAGAAACGTGGCATATGATTTTGCGCTGGTTGTGCTTAGTCAAGCTGTAACCTTAGATGATCACATAAATGTGGTGTGCCTTCCTACCCAAAACGCTGATCCAGTGCCTCGTACTACTTGTTTTTCAACGGGCTGGGGAAAAGACGTTTTTGGTGCCTCTGGCAAATACAGCGTCATCATGAAGCGCGTACCGTTGCCGGTGGTTGACTTCAATACATGCCAGGTACAGCTGCGCCGCACACGTCTGGGGCCCAAATTTGCGCTGGATCGTTCATTCATGTGCGCTGGAGGCGAACGTGGAATAGACACTTGTCAAGGTGATGGTGGAGCGCCACTCGCATGCCCAATCGGTACTGCTTCGGAAAATCGCTATCAACAGAGTGGAATTGTAGCTTGGGGTATTGGTTGTAATGAAGAGGTGCCTGCAGCATACGCAAATGTTGCTATAGCTCGTAACTGGATCGATCAACAGATGTTAGCCAACGGCTTCGGTACGGACATTTATACAGCTTGACCCGACGCGCGTGATTTCTCATATAAATCTAAGACTTTTTGCTGAATCGTTTGTAGTTGTTTGAATAAAGCAAACCCGCTCGCGCTTAATCAACATTAAAAATATTAGAAAAAATAAAAAACGAAAAAGAAAGAAAGGCCTAAACGGTAAACTTGTAAGGTCAATGTAATGAAAAAGTGTCTTCGCCCTTCCGATACGAAATACAAATTTATATAAAATAGTTATCGGAATAAAATACATTTCATTAAATACCAAATACCTTAACCAAATCCTTAAAATATTTTTAGCTTACAAGACTGTCAAATAGTGGAGCCGGTATTCAAAAATACATATGTCCACAATTTTAGGAAGCTTGGGAAATCTATTATCATGAATGTTCTATGAAAAAATATCTGATGTATGGCGGTGTTTATTGTAATATACTTTTGGCAGTTGTCATGGCCAGACCTGCATTCGAGGGAGTAAATAACTTTACTTAGCCTTTATATTTTGGTAAATTCCGATCATAGAATAGTCTACAAAGTCCGCACTCGCATGTTGTATGCATGTGTGTGCGATAAGCTTTGTAATCTTATTTAGTTTTTTAAAGCTCCTACTAGAGGTGCCCTGCTATTAAGTCGTACTTTTAAAAGCTAAACTTAAAAATATGGTCTGTGTCTGTGCCATCGGTGTGACAATCGAGGCCGTCACCGTCTTTGCAGTGTTTGTGAGAAGCGCTGAAAGCTTTGGCTCAATCTTCCTAAGCTCAGTATATTCGAAATTTTTTGTGGTGAGTTGATACCTTATTTTTGGTGCAACCGATGCTGCTGCGTGCTATTTGTAGAGTTATCTGATTAAATGCCGATAGAAGAGCGAGGTGATAAGACGTCCGGAGACTGCGACATCTGCTCCAGATAAATCATCACCATTTCACTCATGGTGTATTATGCACTAGTCGGCACCTCAACATTGTACATCAACATATGTTCTCTCACCTTTGCAAAACCCCTATGAACTTGAACTTGACCAACGAGAATGTGTGCCGTAGGAGCAATATATTCCCTTTATGGTGACGGGGCTTGGAATGTATGCAACGATTAAAGAAAACAACGGATTACCCTATATGTGATAACGGGATTAAGGCCCCTAGTTTATGTATAGTGGTGCCTGTTGTTTGCATACAAATCGTGGGAAATTTCATGGCGTGAGAATGCTCTGGGCAACCGGACGCATTTATTTCGCTCCTCACCAAGGGGGAGGAGTAAGTTCGATTTCAGCATCCCAAATCGCTAGTAAAGTTCATAAACTTTTTTTGCTTTATTTGCGAGTACATACATATGTACTTTTGTGTATATGCGGGTACCGAGACCCCGCCACGTTCCATGAGTATTTATTCACATTTGTGGCTCTCAACAAAGCCATGATTTTCGGATGCGTGTCAGTCCAATATGGTTTCCGCATTAATCTTGCTCCGGTAAAAATTTGCTCCGAAGCACCTTGAAAACCAGTAGTATTGGGTTTCATTATAGAAAAACCTATTAAATTCATTCATTTAATTTGAATTGTTTAGCGCCAAAATATTTTAACCTTGATGTAAGGAAGTGTTTATAGTTTTAAGTTAATGTACATTTATTTAATTTACACAACATGGGGACAATTGTTATCAGTTCAGTGAATGGGGAAATAATTTCAGTCATAATAATCGGTCACTACTGGATGCGCGGCTTAGTCGTCCACATACTAAACAATGACATTTAATAGAATTTTTTGTCTTTTAATAAAGCTCTCAATTAATAAAGGTAGTTTACAGTTATATTTTCCATCTTAATAAATTTTTAACCTCAAATACAATAACTTGGGTATAACTTGGGCCTTTTCCATAAGGAATTTATCACAATATGGCTTTGTAAATAATAGGAGTGGATTTGTAATGCTATATCTTATCCCTGTGGAAAATGGCGTTTTAGATTTTTGCAAATATATTTAAAACACCAGAAGGAAACATCTCCGCCCTATTAAGTATATCACGGGTGCCACAGAAATCTATTCCGCCCAAATTTCACCTCAAAATCAATTCTCGGTGGCACATAAATTTTGGAGGTTTTAAATATATCGTATATTTTGCCTGGAGATTTGATTAAAAACACCAACAAAGAGATTTTTCGACATAAAAAAATCATTGGAATATAAACCTTATAAACCGGAAACTGCAATTTCAATATACAAAACGGACGAGTCAAACAAAGTGAACTCAATTTCAAATGCTAGTTTTTTGCAGGGGAAAACATAGATTTGCACATTCTGCAAAATTCGAAATGATGTTATAAAAAAGGTAACAAATACATTTAATTTTTAATAAACAATATCAATGGAATTCTTTAGTTGGATCAGATGCGCTTCTCAAACATTTGTGTTGTATTTTGTTCCATATTAATCATTATTAATTCCATATTCCGGAAACGGCGGAAATTCTTGCTGGCTAATGTTAATGCAAATTGCGTATTCGTCTTTTATTTAACTTAGTACGTTACAGAATTTAAACTCAATTAGTCAATCAAATGTAATCGCTGTCAGTAATAGCTGACAGCTTGCTTAAAGGGGAAGTTCGAAATATTGAAATCTTCCGAAGTTCTGTGGCATCGATGGATATTTTTGGAAATTTCAACAACAACTGTAGAGGAAACATCCGGAGATTTCTGTGGCACCCCTGTATATATTTTTGATCTGCATAAAAAGACAAATCGATGCATTCATATCCATCCGTCTGTCTTTTTACGTGAATGCTTAAATTACGGAAACTATTTCTTTCTCCTTTTGAGTCTGTTATGCGGGCTTGCGGATTGACTAACGGATCATATCGACTAGCCTCACCATACTAATCAATATTGTATTTATTTTAGGGGGTTTGGTCCCCCTGCTTCTGGGCGATAAATACTTTCGCATTTCTGTGACTTTCTTAGGACTAAAAATTTAAAAAAGTTGTATGGATCGTCAAAATTAGTATTTTGTTAAATCCGAGCATTATTAAGGGAATTTTCATTTCTAAAATTTGTATTTTCATGTTGCCCACCATGTTTCATTAACCATATGAAAAATTATGAAAAATTGTTTAGATTCAAAAATGGCAAGAAAATAAGGCCGTAAGCAAATAATAAAAATTGTGTATTTGCAGCATTAGAAAAAGTGCCCTTAAGAAAAGGAAGCGTAGCAGCGGCTTTTATGGCTCTGGGATTTAGACCAAATGGCATTAACTCGTCTATCAATCGTCTAGTCTGGTTTGCATTTATATATTTTATGAGGCCTGTTCTTAACTTGTTGCCCACATTTTATATACACTTTTATCTTTTGGGTGAGTGTAACGAGACAAAATGAACTATACGGTATGTCTGTCTATTAACTTTATTATCCTAACGACAAACGAAATCTTGATCGCATTACATTGTTCCATGTTTTAAAAAAAACTTGTTCGATTTTGAATACTATGTATAATATTTATTACTTACAATATTGAACGCAAGTTTTCTCGTTCTACCTGTGTATAGGATGCTATTAAATTCCATTATGTTAGTAATGTCAAGCTAATACGAGTATGTAATAATTGTGAAATCTCCAAAACTGTCGACCATTTTGCTTTAAACTTAGCCTATCTCTCATGCATTCAACTGTTGAATCTGAACTTAACATAGCTTCTTTGGTTATGATTGTAAGCAAGCCTCTATTTTATGTATTAATATTTAACTGTTAAAATTGGCGCGAAACCATTTCTTATAATTATAAAATTCTACTATATAAACAGATTTAGTCCAGGGCTCCAATTACCCCAAATTATGAGAAAAGTATAACTATTTACAAGTAATAAGTTTATCATTTAGCTTGGCCGTGCGTAGGCTCAGCGCTGCTTGGCAGTTCCACAAAATACATCTAAGGAAACCGAAGAGAAACCCTAGAAGTATTGACTTCGGCCTGATCTACTCATTTGAATTTGCGCTACACTTCGATGGATAGTGGATGACATAACTGTTGACTGATCCTGTTGCTTATCGGGACAATCAGTGGCATATACTGATTTGATAGGCTGCAGAGAGTGATGTTCGTTAAAGCTAGTTGGCTCAGTCGACGATGTCACTGTAATCGCTGGTATACTCGTATTTTGTTGAGCTGTACTGGTCGGTATTATAGTGCGACTACTGCTGGTAGTGTCGGAAGGAGAGCACAAGGTCGCTGATAGTGGCAACATGTTGAAGCCCATTAATGGTGGTCGTACTGCGATAGATATTGGCAGTGACGCCTTCCGATTGAGCGAATGTCATCCATAGAAGTGTTGGGCAGTTCTGTCAGCGGACATTCCACGCGATAAGGTGTGTGGTACTGTGGTGTCATAATATACGCTGCTGCTCGATGGCAACGCTGACACGGGTGGAGGTGAGGGTGTTCGCACGAAACCCATGTTGTTTGGTAGAAGTGTGCGTCGTAACGAGCTGGCGTGCGCTTGATGTTGACCAGCCATTATCACGGTGCCACTAAGATACGAAGGCGACATGGTATTAAGGCTACTGGGGCCGAGCATATGAGGACCTGCGCGAGGGGATTATATCAAGATTAATATCAAATAGTCATCTGGGAGAATGGTCGAAGATTTCAACGAGCCTTTCGGCCATTGAAAATCAAATAATACTTACCCATTTGCATGGCTCCACTTACTAATGGTTGGGTGATGCTGGTGTAGATGGTAGCGGGCGGTGGCGTGGGTTGGCAGCCACGGCCACTGCTCATAAGTTTCGTACGACCTGTTCCTGGCCCTGTCTCTGTTTCGGACAAAAGTAAGCCGTTGTGCTGACTGACTTGCGCCTTTGCCATCAGAACGGTGGTAGTGGCTGTCGATGCAGACAATACGCCAGATGTGCAGTTCGGTGAGAGTGCATGGTTCATGCAGGTCCCCTATAAGCAGTAATATTGGTGTATCACAGTAATATCCAAGTCCAAAGACCATGAAAAGACAAAACGCATATCCGTAAGTTAGAGCTGTGAAGGTTAAATACATTTGTTTGAAAAAAGTCATTTAGCTGATAATCCACAGATACCTATCTGTCTCACCAAGCTAATGTATATTCGTGCATAGCCAGTACATGTGATCTTGTGTATCATACAATGTTTATTGTTGATAACGATACCAAAATATATGATATAGTTTAAAATAGGAATATAATGTAAAATGATGATGGCGAATATTAGCATATGCAGCTAATGCACTCTGGTTCGACGGCTGACTTCTCTGACGGTTTCTCTCTGCTTCTTCTTCTGACTGCTGACTTCTGCTTCTTTCTTTACGGCTGAAGACTGTGTTCGTAGTGCGGCTGACAACTTACTACTGACAACTAAGTACATTTCTACTGACTGCTTAAAACCAAAATGAGTACCGAGTACTGATGGCGATGCTGCTTCTAGGTGTTCCGCCATTCTCACTATCCTGCCTTCCCATCTTACATACATTAAGCAATTGGGATCTTCCACGCATACATATAAGCTTTAATTTTCTTAAGAATTTATATATCATGATGAAACATAGCATGTGGGCACAAATATCACAAACCGGATGTACAAGTATGTAATTGTGAGATTTTTGTTTTTTATACCCTGTAGGGTAAAAAGGGTATATTAGGTTTGTGCAAAGTATGTAACATGCAGAAGGAAGCATCTCCGACCCCATAAAGTATATATATTTTGAATCAGCATGACGAGAGAAATCGATCTAGACATGTCCGTCCGTCCGTCTGTCCGTCTGGATGAACGCAAGGATCTCAGAAACTATTTTTTTTTAATCTTCCCCCGCTACAGAATTTCGTCAATAGCGTCCACATTTCAAATGCTACCTAAACCAAACATTGCACACATAATTTCTATATAATTATCTACTGTTGTTTGACATTTTCTGTCAGTTCTAAGAAAAGTTATTAGCGAAACAAATTCTCGCCAGTACAACCCCCCCAAACTGCAGCAACAAGTTCGCTCTTCTTCTTCCTCTTTTTGCTGATGCTATGGGCACATATACCTCAATGTCGGAAGTTTACCTGGGTCCAGGGTATTTCACTTTCGCCATTGCTCGACTGTAGCGTTGATGGTTGCGGCGTGATTCGAACCGAGTACCTACTCAAGGAACGAAATTTTGGGAGTCCTGCTCACTCGTTGAGCTACAAGAATTACTAGTTATGGAGTATCTATATGGCAAAAGCGGGGGTCAGATCTTACAGCTCTCAGTTCATACCGTCGGACAGACAGATGGATATGGTACAGAACTAGTACATATAGCGTTTTGTACCTTTAAGGTATGGGGGAAAAATTATAAGATGGCCTGCTTCTCTTCATTGAAAAACAAGTGGAGAAGCTAAAGTCGTATTGCCCGACTTCGAAATACTCTGTACATATGTGTAGAATAATTATAACAAGAGAGAACGCTACAGCTGAGCAAGCCCGACAGTAAAATACTCTGTACTCTCCAAAAATAAGGAAAATAGACAGACAGATAGACGGATAGACGGACATTTCTATATCGACTCGTCTTGTCATCCTGATCAATAATATATATACTTTTTGGGGTCTGCCACGCATCCTTCTGCCTGTTACATATTTCAGCTGGCGCCAATCTAATATACTACTCTTGTACATTTTATGTAGAGAGTAAAAAATAATTAAGCGAGTGAAAATGGTAGATAATTTTTGTATATTAATATTTATATTGACATACATTTAGATTTTATATATAAACATATCGATCAATGAAATTAAGTATTACTCACATCATTTCGAGAGGACACGCTGGGCAGTGAAATTGGACTCAATATGTCCACATCAGCGTCAATGTCTGAGATATCACCGAAGGAATCGGCCGCATGTTTTGTGCCACCTTTTAACTGGTGAATGTTGATTCTTGTATCTCCACCTCGACCTGCCGCATCACCAATTGTCTTGGCCCTGCTTCCTTCGATTGCGTCGCCCTTTTTCCGCACACCGCGGTGCTTTTGCAAAGTCATCCTCCCTATAACAACCGTCACGCATAATAGGACACCAATCGTCGCTGATATGAGTAAATAGAGGTAGAACTTTTGCTGATGTTCTGCATATGAGTTGAAGAAAAATAGACAAAAATAGAATGAGTAATGCGATTGTGGCATAGCAATGTCAGTTGTTAGTCATAGCTTGTTAAATAAAGGCGTCCACACTTTGTTTACTAAGTACAGATTGTTAGTTACTAACATGACAAGCATAAATTGTATATGTAGAGTATATTTTTGTACCAATTGGGGAAATGTAAGGGGCACTGAACTGGGTGGGTCTTTAAATCTAAAGCCATAACAAAGACGTCAAAATATTCTTATCCAAGAACACGTACATAAAATAAACTACCTTTCCAATTCTATCTTTACTGTGATAACATTTTTTTCTCCTGTCGATGATCAGCTGTTGAATAATCTCGCGAATGCTATTATTAGTTTTGGGCAAAATGTGGCACCAAATTTATTACGGTGAAGTTGTCGGCAGTGTTAAACAGAAATACATATTTGGATTATTCTCACATGAGAGCTCAAAGCGTATTAACAACATGCGTGCAGAGTGGTAATGTAGAACTCACTCCTTATGTGCAAATAGGTGTCCAGCCAATTTATCAAGAAACCAACGACTTCGACATGCTCCAGGATATAATCTCCTTCAGTGCAGTTGAGGCTAACAAGGTCCAAATTATCGACCATCTGGCATTTGCGCCGGTAGAAAAAGTTTTTAGCAGTACTCTGAATGCTCTCTTTATTTTTTGCCACATCCGTAGCTATGTCGGATTCCTTACTGTCTTCCGTCGCCTTTGTAATTACTTCAGCAGCTCCAACATCTTGTTCGTGCGTAACTGCTGCGGTCGTCGGCTGTTCTTGATTCATTGCCGCCATTATGCGATTCAGAAATCGCATCGATAACCCAAGTTTATCTGCGAAAAACGGCATTCGTATGCAATTTCCTATACTTGTATGACCTATTGATGTTGATTTCCACAGTGAATATGCGTGGACATAACACTTTTACTAAGCAAATAAAGTAGAATTACTAGCTTAGAGAAATTTTGAATATTGAGTAGATTCGATAAATGTTTGGTTTGATGGACGTGAATACTAATGGTATGTTTTATGAACGATCAAGGTTATAGGAATAAAGAAAATTCTAGTAAATGGTAAAGGATAGCAGTCTGTATTTGAAGAAATCTCCAGTACTTGTACAACTTTTATTATGCAGCCATTGGCTACACGAATCGATATAGATTATACAAATTAGTTCAGTTAAACTATCATAGTCATTATGATATAACTAGTATATCGAATGACTGGATTCTTCAGTACAACAATGCTCCATGACTTTCATAAAAGAGCAGAAGACTGTTGGGATACTTTTAACAACTGATAAGGATCAGTATAATGTGCATTGTATAAATAAATTGGACTACCCCTGTATAAACGGAATTTTCCACAAGTAAATTGTATGTAATTATCTAATAGCGAAATAATTGAATGCCAGTACAATGGAGCTCGAACTATAGCAGCGTTCCCTTTCTTCTTTTTTTTTTTTTTTTTGCTTCTGTTAAAAAAACATAGCAACAACATCCAATTTTCATCTTCTTCTTTTTGATCAAGCATTGAATATAACGGTCGGCCTTGGCTGTTTGGGCAAGCTAATTTATATGTCAACACAAATACATATGTAGCAAGTACATAATCTGACTTCGCTCAAATTTAAAAATGTGTAATGTTATGAATATTTAAATGGTTCAATCTAACTGGTTCCGACCTTTTACATGGAAGCATCAGTAGGACACAAATATCTTAAAGGTATCATTGGCTAGCCCAAAAGATTTTATCGCGAGACAACAAAATCAAATAGCACTCGCTTATTGATTCTAATAAATGACGCTGTACATGGGCATACTACTCTGTACAAGAGTATATTAGGTTTGCGGGAGGTGAAAAGTATATACATTCTTGATCAGCGTGACAAGACGAGTCGATCTATCCGTCTGTTAGTGATTTTGAGTCCGTATTGCAAGTTACATAATGATAGGCCGATTTAACAGGAAGTTATAGCCATATCTATATATATAAAACAGTTTGTCCTGACTGATTGGTGATCAACGCACAGCCCAAACTATAAAGCTGAAATTTAGTAGGCGATAGAAAGGGATTTTGGAAAATTCGAGCTCCAAAGTTTATTTGAAAAATTTTCGGTTTTTCACCGATGAACTTCAAATTTGGTTTTTGCAATCTATGAAAGAATACAAAACAAGAAAGGAATGCTAAAGTCGAGCAGGCTCAACTCTTAAATACCCTGTACCACCTCACAAAAAAAAAAATAAATTAAATTTAATTAATTAAATTTAATTAATTAATTAATTTTATTAATTAAATTAATTAAATTTAATTAAATTTAATTAATTTAATTTAATTAAATTCGGGAAAAATGAACAAACTCGTCCTTTCTCGGGCTCAGGAGAATCTGTATACCAAGTTTGATTATTCTAGCTCTTATACTTTCTGAGATCCTTGCGTTCATACAGACGGACGGACAGACCGACTCGTCTTCTCATCCTGATCAAAAATATATATACTTTGTGGGGTCTGCCACGCCTCCTTCTGCCTGTTACATCTCTGTCGGCAGGGGTTGCTGCTTTGACTTATACTCTGTACATGAAATGTACAAGAGTATATTAGGTTTGCGGGAGCTGAAAAATGTAACAGACAGAAGGTGGCGTGGCAGACCCCACAAAGTATATATATTTTTGATCAGCGTGACAAGACGAGTCGATCTAGCCCTGTCTGTCTGTCCGTCCGTCCGTATGAACACGTGGATCTCAGAGACTATAAGAGATAGAGACCCCAAATTTTGCACAAAGATGCCTTATGTGTGTATGCTATACGAGTTTGTTTTATTTTTTGGATTTTTCCCCCCTATGGGGGTTTTCCCCATTTTTAATTCGTATAATCGCCTATATCTCGGAGACTATAAGACCTACGGACATCAAATTTTAGCCCAGGATGTCTTATGTGAATACACATAAAATTTGTATTTTGGAATTTCCCTTCCTCCCCCCTCTCCCAAGCAAATCCCGATTTTCTTTAACTCCCGTAATTCTTGGAATTTCGAACTAAAATTTTGGAAATACCCCCAGTTTGTTATTATGTGTCCGTGTACCAAGTTTCACTATGACCGATTTAACAAGAAGTTATAGCCATAAATATATTTGCTGCTGCAGCGCGGCTCAAGCGCTGCTCGCGGCTGTTGTTGATGTTGCTATTTGGTTGACTGCACACATGTTTACAAAGACACGAATAGATGCGCATAGGCATACATACACTCACACAGACGCAATTGCTATGTAAATGTGCAATTATACACCCTTTACGTGAGTTCGAATACCGAGAAAGGTAAAATCGATCATTGATTTTTTTTTTATTTTCTTAATTTTTTTATAGCCTGTACCCAAAGGGTGAAAGGCTATACTAGTTTTGTGCGCATGTATGTAACACACAGAAGGAGGCGTGGCAGACCCCACAAAGTATATATATTCTTGATCAGGATGAGAAGACGAGTCGATATAGCCATGTCCGTCTGTCCGTCTGTCTGTATGAGCGCAAGGATCTCAGTAAGTACAAGAGCTAGGATAACCAAAATTGGTATCAAGGTTCCTATAAGCCCTAGGCAGAACGAGTTTGTTTATTTTTTCTGATACACCCCCCCACTCCCCCGCAATTCGTATTTTTTCTTATAACTTCCGTAATTCTCGGAATTTTAAAATCAATTGTGGTAGGTACATCCAGTTAGTACTAATGTGTCCGTGTGCCAAATTTCATCATGATAGGTCAATTCTGAAGAAAGTTATAGCCATAAGTAAAATCGCTGCTCATGCGCTGCCTGCAGCTCTGTCGGCAGCGCTGCTCGCAGCTGTTGTTGTTGTTGCTGCTTTGGTTCCACTTTGTGCTGCATACATACACGCATATGAACACGCATAGGTACGTGATGTAAATGTATGCTGTTTAAACTGAACATAAACATGTATTCTAATTTAATTTAATTAATTATTTTAATTTATTAATTCATTCATTTTTTTTAATAATTTAATTTTTTTTAATTTTTTTTTTTTTATTTTTCTTTTTTGTGGACAGTACAGGCTATTTTACTGTCGGGCTTGCTCGACTGTAGCGTTCTATCTTGTTTTATTTTCTATAATTATTGTAAACATATGTACAGAGTATTTCAAAGTCGGGACACCCGACTTTAGCTTTTTTACTTGTTTATCATATTCTTATAGAGAAACAATCGAATTTAACTAATTTAAATAATAATTCAAATTTTGAATAGCCCGTTTCAAGATATTCGAATGCAAAGGCGCGCAAGCGCAAACTTTCTCGTTAAGATATTTATATTACACTTTTGTTTTGCTTATATTTCTTAGAGAGAAATATTTTCATTGACTTTTGCTAGTTAAAATGTTCCTGCAATCACAAAGAGTCAAAAAAGAATGCATAAGAGACCATGCAGATAACTGTAAATTTTGACTTTACATTGTCATATATTTTGATGTCCCGTGCGACATCCAAAAACATCATTTGTCATCAGTCAAATATTGATCACAAATAGTAATTATCAAGTAAAAAAGCTAAAGTCGGGTGTCCCGACTTTGAACTACTCTGTACATATGTTTAGAATAATTATAGAAATTAAAAAAAAAAAATTTTTTTTGATCGATTTTACCTCTTTTGGTATTCGAACTCACGTAAAGGGTGTATAATTGCACATTGACATAGCAATTGCATCTATGTGAGCATATGTATGTTTATGGGCGTCTATTATTGTCTGTGTAAGCATGTTCGCAATCAACCAAAGCATCAGCATCAACAACAGCTGCGGGCAGCGCCTGGGCAGCGAATATATTTATGGTGATGATTAAAAATAGCTGTGAGAAAAAAAGCGTGTAGGCGCTGAAGAGAAAAATTGAAGAATGACCTAATGAAGTTGCAAAATATTAAAAGTAAACAGGACTTTAAAAAAAAGAACAAATGTTTTTTTAGGCAAAATCAATTTATTTTATTCAAAATAGTCTCCTCTGCTTCAATACAGCTTTTTGCACGATCCAAAAGCATGTCGAACGAGTGTTTTAGCTCGTTGGCCGGTATGCCCGCCAGTATGCCGGTGCAAGCCTTTTGAATGGCCTCTACGTCTGCATAACGCTTTCCTTTTATGGGCAAATGCATTTTTCCGAAAAGGTAGAAGTCGCACGGTGTTATATCAGGTGAATACGGCGATGCGGTTAATGGTTAAAATGTGATTTTTGGTCAAATAATCGGTCACAAGCGTCCATCGATGAGACGATTCTGAGCAATTTTTGGTCGTCTGTCAATTTGTGCGGAACAAACCGTGCACACACCTTTCGTAAGCCCTAATGTTCGGTCAAAATGCGATATATCGATGTTTTGGAGATGTTCAATTCCATTTCCATCAATTTCAATGATGATTTCGGCTGATTTTTGATGAATTCACGCACCGTTTCGATGGAATTTTCGGTGATCACGAATTTTGATTGGCCCACATGTTGATCGTCATTTATGTCCTCACGACTACTTTGAAAACGTTGAAACTACTCGTGCACTCTGCTACGGGATAGGCAATCATTGCCATAAACTTGTTCCATCAATGGAAACGTTTCAGTAAAAGTTTTACCAATTTTAAAATAAAATTTAATGTTGGCTCTTTGTTCGAAGCTCATTTTCGCACCGATAACACAAACACACAGACACTTAAAACGCAATATCTTCACTTCCAATCGATGAAATGTCATAAAATCGGTAAATATAGCAGATTCTAACGCACTAGTCGACATATTGATAGCGCCACCAGGGGGCGCTAGATTCAAAAAGTCCTGTTTACTTTCGAACCCACCTTGTA